ATGAGAGAAGAGTAGGAAGTTTTCCCTATTAGAGTGCACAAATTATGAGAGAGATATCCTGAATTTTATAAATAAAAAATAAAAAAAGCTAGAACAAAATTTTTTATTTGTTTTATATAAGGGTAATTCTATAATAAATTTAAAAAGAATGATAAAAAACCTAGTAACCAAATGATGTGATTCTAAATTGGTGAGTAAATTTTGAAAAATTGAGACCATAACATCACCACGTTAGCGTTAGCGAGGGATCATTTGGTCTATGTTTTTTTTTTTATCTATATTCTTGATTGATTTAACATGAATCTACAGCCTAATTGCTGAGAATAAAGAGAGCAATTCGTACTTTTCACCATGAAAGATTTTAAATTTTTTATTTTGTATCTTTAATGTATTAAAAATATTGTAACGTAACATTATGTTAGTTTTTTTATTAGTGTCAATGAGTTAATTTTTGACGGAAAAAAAAAACAAAAGCTAACAAAAGAGACACATTACACCATTTTTGATACATTGAGGGTGCAATGTGAAAATTTTAATTTTTGAGAGTGAAAAATAAAAAAACTTAAAATCTTTTATGATAGAAAGTGCAAAAAATCCCTAACAAATATAACCAAAACAAATAATTTCTAGCTACAAAGGACGATGAACTGGATGGTACAAGAGAGAATCATCCTCTCTTTTATTACAGTCAATTTGACTCAACAAGAGACAACCATAATGAATTCAATTGAGACCTATTACTTATAAATGAGTCCTCCATTCATACATAATGTGTAATTTATTATTGAATAAAATTAAGTAAAAATATAATGAAGAATCGTATTCAATATTACCTACATAGGGAACCATATAATAATTGGTTATTTCTATGATAAATAAAAAGTGTAAATTGTTTTAAAGTAATAAAAGATGTAACTTAAATCACACAGAGTAGAAACGGGACAGAAGCCCAAGAACAACAAAATTTAAAAATTTTTTAGGATAAGAGCACATTGAGAGTGTCATATCATATGCATGTCGGGACACATTCAATCATAAAAGTTAATAAAGATATAAATTTTAGGCACAATTATATGACAAATTATTTAATTTTTAAATATATATTAATTATAAATTCTTAAAACAGAAATTCTAAATATCATTCTAGGCATGAATCAGTACATTTCAAATAAAAATTTGAATAATAATGAGCAAGTGTATAAATAAGCAAGAGTGTAAATTAGTCAAATTTATGAATTAAAAAATTAAATCCACGAATTCTATAAAACAAGAGTGTAAATTCGTGGTGAATTCGCTCCCACAATACGAATTCGCACANAATCCACGAATTCTATAAAACAAGAGTGTAAATTCGTGGCGAATTCACTCTCACGATACGAATTCGCACGTAGAGCACGTGAGCTTGAGGTGTTTAGAAGAATTATGTGACTAACTACTTCATTGACATACAAGAAAAAAAAAACAACTGAGTAAACAGAAAATGTGAATAATGCCAAATTTTCTTTTTCAGAAGGCTATAATGCCAAATTTTCATCATGAAAACACAGTAAAGCCTGTCAAAATTGTCATGCATGACCCCTTGGCAGTCATATGTCAACTCATCCTGTTACTGTTTTTATGTTCACATAGGCATAGGTAGTACTCCGATATTAAAAGGCATGCAACTTTATAATATACAATCCGCTTAAATATATTTTTTTTGGTACCATATATTTTCATGTTATTTATTAAAAACAATGACACGTATATTTTTTTATTTAATTATTGTTCATTACAATTTATGGTTATCAATCATTCGAATCACAAAATCTAAGGCCTCATATCAATTTAGACACAGTACCTCAGTGGTACCGTAGCCTTATCCCCCCTTATACAGTAGGCATGCCTGTCCTCATATATAAACAAAAACCCAAAAGCTGTGAACACTAGCTAGCTAGGTATAGAAGACGTGAAAGAGAATACATGGATAAAGAATAGAAATTTAATGGCTATGGAGATGGAAGAGAAGGCAAGCACTGCCAAAAGGAGGATTGTGTATCTACAGAATTAAACTATGGCAAGTGCAAAGAAAGGGGTGGATGATAAGAAAAAGGAGGAAAAAGTAGTGAAAGGTAGATACCAGGAAATAAGGCAAATGCTGTGAAAGTGGAGACCACAGGAGACAAGTCTCGGCTTCAAGTGCACGCATGCTTTTCTTCGAACAGCAACTTCATGCCCTCTCTCTTTCTCAAATTCAGTAGGCTTCTCAATAAGCTTTTTTTGCTTGAGTAAATTATATAAATAACCCTTAAATTAAGACACTTGAATCAATTAACCTCCCTAAACTAATTTTTTAATTAGTCTATTAAACCCCTGAACTATAATTGATTCATCGCGGCTGAACTAGGGTTGAATGAGTTTTGTAGTTGGGTCTTTTGTGTGTGTGGACTTAAATGCCCCTAATTTCTGCTCCGCATGAAAATTACTTGGTGTTCCGTCAAACACCATTAATTGACTCAAAAACTAATTCGGGTATTTAATTAAACAAGTTGCATAGTTTAAGGGTCATCTATGTAATTTACACATTTTCTCTCTCTCTCTAGTCCACCAAATTCAATGGGGTTTTTTCTCTCCATATAAATTTTTTTTTTTGGGGGGTGGGGAAGAGACATGACAACCTGTTTTTCCAACAAACACCACCCCCCAGCTCTTTGTTGCCGCAATCAACAGTTTACTTTTTGTCTTAAAGAAAGAAGAAACAAACCAAAAATAAAATAATAAAACGAAAGTTTCTTTTGATTGATTGCATTTGATGCGGTGGTTTCTTTTTTGTTCTCAAACTCTTGTGCAATGCCAATTGCGAAGAATCTCATTGAAATGGTGGCCCAACAAAGCATATCAAGAAGCTCATCAAGAGTTACCCTCTCCACACATTTTCTAACCATCTGCATTGGAAATGGTAAACTAGCTTTCAAACACAAAGTTAAGATACTTCTACTAAAACTGGGCCAGGTATTCGAGGCTTGTGTAATTATTGGGTATAGAAGAATTAGATATACACAACTTTAACGGTGTCAAAATAAACCATTTTTAAAAAAATTGCTTATAAGAAATTGATATAAAATCACCTGGTTCAAGTAAATCCTTAATCACTACTGTGTCTAGTTATTTCTGTGTGAAAAGAGTTATTTAAACGGGAATTGTGTGCGCAGCCTGATGTTCTTGTCATATCACCGTTATTTTGAACTTGTTATTAATGTTTCGATCAAAAAAAAAAATTGTTATTAATGTTATTATTATTATTGCTGTTATTGTAAGGAAGAGAGGGAAAATAACAATTGCAATTCAAAATTTATACTAAACCAGATGCTTAAAGGCCCTATTGAAGGACTAAAATAACAATTACAAAGACAGAAAATATGTAAAAATAGAATCACCCTATATGTTAGAATATTTTCAAAATGGAAGTTTTTTTTTTGGGTATTTTTATTTTTGAAAATTTTTTTTGTGACTTTTGGGAGAAATTAGAAATATGTGAAATAAGAACGACAGAACGACTATTAATTCACAGTTATTGACTTTTGACTAAAAGACATCGATCTAAATGGTTATAACATTTTATAAAGTCACCATTAAAGCCTTTTATTTAAAAGACACAATTAAAAATGGCTATTACTTTTCATAAAGTCACTTTTGATATCTCTTAGACTAAAAGATATTGTTTTAAATTAGAGCATCTCCAACCTTAACTCAAATTAAAATTTAAGTAAAAAAGTCCAAAAAATTTGTTCCAACCTTTACTTAAACTTATACCGAATTAAAAGAGATTCTTTTTTTTACTCAAATCAAGGGAGACTCAAATCCTTACCCAAATTTTTAATGGTGAGATTTCACCATTTTTAAAAAATCCAATGGTCATCTTTACTCTCATTTAATTTTGAATTTGCCCTCATTTAAATTTAAGTTTCTCATTATTTAAATTTGAATTTGTCTGTTAGAGTCTTTTGTATCAAATCAATCTTTTTACTCAAATACTAACTTACGTTTGAGTAAAAATTTGAGTTATGATTAAATATGCTCTTATTACGTCCTTTTTGAAAACAATAATAGGTTTATAAATAGGTGATGTCTTACACTTTAGAAACATATCATTAAACAATCCTATATTTTCTTCTATAATTGCTCTTTCATTTTTCTTTTCTTGTTCTTCTAAAGTCATATTGAATTCTTCTTTTATATTTAATCTAGTATTATAATTTCTAGAGAGTTAGAATATCAGAAGTTGACTATTTAATTTCCTTGAGATATTTGGGTAGTGTTTTTGAAAATGCAATACACGTGTAGATTTGGAAATTTTTGATGTATGTTATGTTGAGAATTTGTGGAATTTTTGGTATATAACTTTCTAAATAATTGGTAAGAGCAATTACTATTTTTAAGAAAGTGTTCTCGTACACTGAGTTAAAATAATTTTCAGTGTTATTGGGCAATTTTTATAATCTAAGTTTTTCAACAACGACAACACTGATTACAAACACGCTGTACCTAAATCTCTTCCTATGTTTTAAATTCTTCTATGTAGCAAATATTTCATGCGAATCACCTTATACTGTTTTGCGATGCCAAACAATCGACACCTCTCAAATATCTTCAAAACCATGATTGGATGTTAATACATCTTCTCTCGTGGACTCTACTGCTCTGCTTTCATAATAGACAGGTAGTTGGTCATTGTCACTCCATCATGTGCTAGCCAGATAATGCAGTCTGCCTAGCCACCTATAATTCTTCTCTCCCACACACACACACACACACACACACACACACACACACACACACACGAACAGTACCATGCAAGGTAAGTTTTTTAGTAATAAAAAAGAGGAGCTCTAAATCATTCCACTGTCTTAAGTATCTTAAACTAATCCAACAAGAGACATAGGTTGCCTCGTAGGAATCTAGCCCACCTCTTCTCCTATATATCACTAACCCATATCTTTCTCTCAATCATAAATCCACCAGAAAACTATAGCTAAGCCATCATCAATGGCTGCATCAGCTCCAGTTGAAAGTCATTCAACAGTCACTGTTACAAAGACTGTTTCTGTATACCCAAAAGCTTTGCACCCTCCAAACCTTCTCAGACTCTCCAATTTGGATAGACAGTGTCCACTTCTCATGTATCTGGTTTTCTTTTACAAGCCCTCTCATGGTTTCCGAGATTTATCAATCGATGCGATTTCCAGTAGACTAAGAAATGGCTTAGAAGAGACCCTGTCAGTCTGGTACCCAGCTGCGGGGAGGCTGAGCTTGAACCCTAGTGATGGAAAGCTCGACTTGTGGTGCAATAATGGTGGTGTAATTCTGGTTGAGGGAGCGACCCATGTGAAGATGTCTGAGCTTGGAGATCTCTCACTGCACCATGAGTTCTCTGAGAATTTGGTTTTTAAGCCTGTTTTTAATGGGAATATTACTGAGATGCCTCTGGTGGTTGCTCAGGTAAGAGTATTTTCAAATTATGAAACAAAATTAAGGGGAAAAAATAGGCTTCAATTGTTTCTATTTTCCTACCAGAAAAAGAAATTATCAGAGCTCTCTTTAGGTTTACCAAAAAATCATGGGTAAAAACTCTTAGGTCTTGTATTATTTGACAGCTGATGTTTTGATAAGACTAAGATGATAGTATGATAACAGTTTGAAGATTTATGATAAGCTTTTGACCACACCACGTACTTCAATTTTCTTTTATGGCGCAGAGAGAGTGGTCGGATGTTAAGGGTTCACTATCACAGTCTCACTCGCAGATAGTTGCGGGTTTCAATCTTCTCCTTTTCAATTTTTTTTTCTGTGAAAAATCATAATTTGTTTAAATCCATTTAAAAAAAAAAAGAAAAAAGAACTGGGGAAGTGTAGATTTTCGGTTGATCTATCTATAGTCATACTTGAGTCACTCTACATAAAGACAGCTGAGAAGATCAGTTCCAATCATTAATTTAATAGAAGTTTTTTATATTTACAGGGAAATTGGCACATCTTTCCAGCTGGGATTTTTTTTTTTNTCTACATAAAGACAGCTGAGAAGATCAGTTCCAATCATTAATTTAATAGAAGTTTTTAATATTTACAGGGAAATTGGCACATCTTTCCAGCTGGGATTTTTTTTTTGTGACTAAANTCACTCGCAGATAGTTGCGGGTTTCAATCTTCTCCTTTTCAATTTTTTTTTCTGTGAAAAATCATAATTTGTTTAAATCCATTTAAAAAAAAAAAGAAAAAAGAACTGGGGAAGTGTAGATTTTCGGTTGATCTATCTATAGTCATACTTGAGTCACTCTACATAAAGACAGCTGAGAAGATCAGTTCCAATCATTAATTTAATAGAAGTTTTTTATATTTACAGGGAAATTGGCACATCTTTCCAGCTGGGATTTTTTTTTTTTGCGCAGAAATAGATTTTCACTAGAAGATTTTGCATTCAGAAACAACTGAAATCAATTGGATATTTGAAGTTATTTCTATTTCTTAGCAATACTGAAATGTTTTTAATTGATGATTGTGATATAGGTGACGAAATTTGGTTGTGGAGGCTACTCAATTGGCATAGGCACAAGTCATTCATTATTTGATGCACCAGCAGCCTATGATTTCCTATCTGCATGGGCTTCTCAATCTAATATGAGAGGAAATGAGGGTTCTGAGCCTCATGTTAAACCAGTACATGAAAGAGGGAGATTATTGATGGGTGATTATCAATCCCAAAAGGAGATTAATATAAACCCGGGTCGGCCGGCAAAAAGGGTGGCTGCAATAGATCATCTATATCAGTTGATTAAGAAAGTAACTCCTCAGAATCATGAAAATTATGTTCTTAGAACCTTTCACCTAAGTGGTGCAGTGATAGAAAACTTGAAGAGGAAGGTTTTTGTAGAGAAGAGGGGAAGTTTTTCATTTTCATCCTTTGAGGTAGTTTCAGCTCACCTGTGGAAGGTACTTCACGGCTCCTTATTTCTTTTGGGGCTTTTTGTTCGTCTCTAAACTTGATAGGAGCATAATAATTGAACTTGGATCACATTTCATTCGTCTGATGATAGATCTTAATTATCTGACATTCAAATATTAGGCAGGTTAAAGTCTGCAGTTTGAATAATGAACCTGTAACCCCCCCACCCAAACACACAGACACACAGGGGAAGGGAGGGAGAGAATTTGCAAACCTTGCATCATCAATCATACGGAGTAATATCCAAAAAAAGCAATTCATTTTCTGTTGTCAACAATTATTTAGAGAGAGAAACAGATAATGACAACTAAAAAAAAAGAGAGAGGATAGAATGAAGATCCAATCTGAACTTGGCCTAATCTGTTGACTATAGATTTACCGCTTACAAGGCTCTCTTACTCTTAGTCTCTAATTTCTTCATGCCATCACTTGTGATGTATTCAATTTGAAAATCCCAAATTCTTGTGTTCCTCTCTCTCTCTCTTTCTCTCTCTGCATCTTACGGGGGCGATCCAGAAAAGAAGACCTGGGTTGTGGTGCTGGAGCCGTGCTAATGCCGCAGGAATGAACCAGGGTGTGTATAAGGACAATTACCCAACCATGGAACGAGCGCGGACATATGCTAACAAGGGAAACTGGGTATTTTATTCTGACCGAAATATTTGTTTCAAGGCTCTCAGGAGGTATGGTTAACTCGAGTCTAATACAAGTCCGAAGAGTGATTTGGTCGAAGGTTTGTGTATTGAGGTAATCAGGAAAGATGGCTTGAGCTTTAAAGAAACACCAATGTTATTGGAAAATAATTGAGGGATATAATGATGTATTTAATGATGATCTCATTATATCATTAAATGAATTCATTATCATATCATTGGTGACAATTTATTATGTCTCCAAATTATATCTCAATAGCATTGCTCAAAAAAAAATATCTGAGAATTTCTCTNTGTATTGAGGTAATCAGGAAAGATGGCTTGAGCTTTAAAGAAACACCAATGTTATTGAAAAATAATTTAGGGATATAATGATGTATTTAATGATGATCTCATTATATCATTAAATGAATTCATTATCATATTGGACGTGTTTTGAACTTCATTGAATTTTTTTCTCGAACAAATGAAATTATTTACCCCACCGAAGTATAACTATGGGGATACACCAAACTTAACAAACCTTTATCCAAACGCACCTATCCAAATTCCAAGAAGGGACCTCCAAATCTTGCACCCACCAAACCAACACAAAAATGACCAAAGCACAAACTCAGTAAGGTAAGGATATATTATGTCAAGTTCATGCATACATATATGGTTATATCTCTATGCAATTACCATATGCTTTTGCAAATTATAGCTGTCATTTATTCATGTTTCAGACAAGAACGAAGGCCTTAAGAATAGACCATGAACAAATGGTGTGCTTGCAATTTGCAGTGGACATAAGGAACAAGATGGTGCCACCGTTGCCAAAACATTTCAGCGGCAATGCTTATGTACTTGCATCTGTTGCTTTAACAGCAGGAGAGTTGGAAGAACAAAGCCACCACGCCATAGTCGAGAAGATCAAGGAAGCGAAGAATTCTGTGACAGATGACTATGTCATTGCATATAACAAGGCACTCCAAGGGCCACCCGCCACTCTCCCTCCATTGAAGGAGCTTACTATGGTTTCGGATTGGACAAGGGTGCCATTCCACAAGGTTGATTTTCTTGGTGAAGAAGCAGCATATGCATCTCCACTGGCTTCTCCAATCCCTCAGGTTGCGTATCTTATGCAGAACCCTGTTGAAAATAGGGGAGTAGATGTGAGAATTGGTTTGCACCCAGACATCATAGATGTTTTCTCACACTACTTCATTTGTTTTTAAAAACTCAAGAGTTAAAACTTTTCACTCTTTCACTGCTTCCTTTGATTAATTGTTAGCTGGTAGTGGCAGTTTAAAAGGTTAATGGAAGATGATTATACTAATTATGACACCCAGATTTGTTGAAATGAGTTATTAAAGAGCTAGTTTTCTGACAATGTTAATTGTATGACAAAAATACAGTTCATAAACAAGCATTTTGATTTAAAGCTTCAACCTACAAATTAACAGCGACACAAGCAACATTAGCACGTCCATAATGCATTATTGTCGGGCCATGAACACATATATATTCTCTCTCTCTCTCTCGCACACACTATTCACACACAAATTACATACAAAAATCCAAATATTCACGTATTTGGGTGAATACGAGATAAAACAATTGGTGTTCTGGGTTGTTTTGGTGGTGGCCAAAGGAGGCACGTTGGTCATGGCGTGAATTGAACATGCCCTAGGAGCATGGGGACCAGTGGCTATCGAGTTGTGATGGGAGAGGAGCTGCATATCGACGGTAGTTATGGAGGTGCTTTTACCCCGACCCAAGGGGTTTTGAAAAAAAAAATCCTAAATAATGATTGGTTTCAAAGTATTTTTTAAACACAAGTTATTTAAAAAACGTTAATTTATCTAACGTTTTTAAGTCAAAAGACGTCAATTCATATGACGTTTTTAGCCTAAAAACGTCAGACCAACGTCTGACGTAACGTCTGACGTTTTTAAGCTTGAACAGTGCCCTTCTAGAACCCTTAAAAAGTCAGTCTAATTGATGCTTTAATTAAAAACGTCAATACAACTGACGTTTTTAAGTTAAATGTGACCATCATTTTTTTACTTCTCTTATTTTTCCTTCTTCCCTCATTTCTGAGCCCTAACATTTTCAGGCGATCAAAATCTCACCATTTGCACTCCCCACAGCAGACATTCAATCAGCAGCCTCACCATCTTATTTTTCCTTCATTAGCACCATCTGAAAGTCCTAGCCAACTGCCACTATCGGTCACCCCCAATTCCAAGCACCACCACCATCAACCACCACCCTGCACCACCCACCATCGAAGCTCCAAATCCAAGCACCACCACCATCGATAGTGGATTTGAAGGATGTCNCCAGTTCCCTGATCTTATGAAATCTCACATCTATATGTTTGGTCCTCGCATGATACATCTGGTTCTTTGCCAAATAAATGGANCCAATTCCAAGCACCACCACCATCAACCACCACCCTGCACCACCCACCATCGAAGCTCCAAATCCAAGCACCACCACCATCGATAGTGGATTTGAAGGATGTCAATATGAAGGATGTTGTCACACCCGACGTTCTTCAATCTCGTGCAAGAAAATCACGGCTACAAAAGAGACCAAAGCNTAGCATACATCAAACACCCCACTGCACTAGCATATGAGACCTTTGACATGTCATGAATTTCATCATTTGTCTTCGGGCACTAAGCGGTAGAAAATCTGAAATGATTCGCCAAATGTGTACTTACTGATTNTGAGATTCGAAGAGAGGTTTAAGAGTGGGAAGAACATGTGGTTTTTCTCCAAGTTGAGGTTCTAAGGAGGTTAAAGGGTCTGTTTTGTTCTCCATTTTTATCTGTTCTGCTTGATTTAATATGTCATAGTTGTTTAAGTACTCGTTTTGTGAGTATTGTCTTGGACCTAGTTTGAGTTTTCTTGGTAATTTTGGTGACAATCAAAGATGAGTATTACGCGACTTTTTGGGATTTGATTGATACTTCTGCAATAATTTGATGGCCCCATTTTGATTATGATTCTATAATTTTATTTGAGAAGTATCTTGTTGTGATCGTGCAGCAATTATAGTGAATAGTAAGGAATCAAACAATTAAGAAAGCAGGAGAAAATAACACACAGAAATTTACGTGATTCGGCAATGTGCCTACATTCACGAGAGCGAGCGGCCGTTCTTTTTCATTATTGAAGTAGGGTTACATCTTAAGTATTTATATAACCCTAATATGGACATATTTACAAAAATACTCCTGTACCGTACCGCGGGGACGTTGCCCTCGCACCCCCAACTAATCAGCATCCCCTTTATATAAATCCCGCAAGGCAGATGCCGTCGCAGACTCCGCTCCGGCATCTGCCTCCTTGCCATTATGCACACAGCAAATATGAGCCACACATACTCTAACAATCTCCACCTTGACAAATATTCACCCTTTAGAAGAAAAAAAAAAAGGACACATATTCGGGAACTCCACCGGGGACGCTGAGTTGAGACATCTCCCATCTAGCAACTAGAGACATTAATCAAGTCCAAGCAGTGCTTGAACTTGTCTGTAGTAACAGACTTTGTCAACATGTCTGCTGCATTCTCAGAAGTGTGAACTTTCTCAAGTAATAGTTCACCAGAAGAAACCAGTTCCCTGATCTTATGAAATCTCACATCTATATGTTTGGTCCTCGCATGATACATCTGGTTCTTTGCCAAATAAATGGAACTCTGACTGTCACAATGCAATTGAACTCCACCTTGCTGGGCACCCAGCTCCTTGACTAAATCTGTAAGCCACAAAGCCTCTTTGGCAGCCTCAGCTACTGCCATATACTCTGACTCAGTAGTAGATAGTGCAATTATAGGCTGTACCATGGACTTCCAACAAATAGGTCCTCCCACAAGAGTAAACACATAACCTGTGGTAGACCTCCTGTCATCCAAGTCCCCTGCATAGTCTGCATCCACATATCCCATAACTGAAGGGTCACTCTGTTGTCTGCTAAACCTGATGCCATAGTCTGTAGTGCCCCTCAAGTATCTGAAAATCCACTTGACTGCATCCCAATGCTGTCGACCCGGATTTGAAAGAAACTTGCTAACCACGCTGACAGCTTGTGCCAAATCTGGTCTTGTACAAACCATAGCATACATCAAACACCCCACTGCACTAGCATATGGGACCTTTGACATGTCATGAACTTCATCATCTGTCTTCGGGCACTGAGCGGTAGACAATCTGAAATGATTCGCCAAAGGTGTACTTACTGATTTTGCATAACTCATGCTGAACCTGTCCAACACCTTCTCAACATAGCTATGCTGAGATAGCCATAATCTCCTGGAAGCTCTGTCCCTGCGAATCTCCATCCCAAGAATCTTCTTGGCCGCACCCAAATCCTTCATGTCAAATTCTCTACTCAACAAAGTCTTCAACTTGTTGACCTCACTCATACTCTTGGCAGCAATCAACATATCATCCACATAAAGTAACAGAAAAATAAATGAATCATCATCAAGCCTTTTTACATAGACACAGCAATCATACTCACACCTTTTGTAGCCAATTCGGATCATGTAAGAGTCAAATCGTTTGTACCACTGCCTCGGAGACTGCTTCAGCCCATAAAGTGATTTCTTCAAATTACAGACCAAATGTTCCTCTCCAGGGAGACTGAACCCTTCTGGCTGTACCATGTAAATCCGTTCCTCCAAGTCGCCATGAAGGAAAGCTGTCTTTACATCCATCTGCTCCAACTGCATATCTGAATGTGCTACTAGTGCCAACACTGTCCTGATGGAAGTGTGTCTGACCACGGGGGAGAAGATCTCATCATAGTCAACCCCTTTTCTCTGTGAGTAACCCTTTGCTACTAGACGAGCCTTGAATTTTTCTCCCTCATTTTCTGATACTGCTTCTTTCTTCTTATACACCCATTTGCACCCTATTGCTCTCTTCCCCTCGGGAAGTTCCACCAACTCCCACGTCTGGTTCTTATGCAGAGACTCCATCTCCTCCACCATAGCACCCATCCATCTACTTTTCTCTTGGCTTTGTACTGCCTCCTGAAAAGTTGTAGGATCCCCGCTACTAGTAATAAGCGCATAAGAAACCAAATCTTCAAAACCATACCTGGTAGGTGGCTTGATATTGCGTTTGGGCCTGTCTGTGGCTATACTATGATGCTGTTGATCACCTGAGATAGAACGCTCTACATGCTGAGCATCCTCTTCTCTACCATGATTCTCTAGCTCCACCTGCACCACATGGTCATTAGTGCTACAGTTTTCTGGTACTTGTTTCTCTTCTTCCTGAGTACGCTGCAACATGGCTTTTTCATCAAAAACCACATCTCTACTGATCACCATCTTGTTTGCCTTCGGATCCCAGAGCTTGAAGCCTTTCACTCCTTTCTGATATCCCAGAAAGATACACTGTCTAGACTTCGCATCAAGCTTCGACCTCTCCTCACTAGAAACATGTACATAGGCTGGACATCCAAACACTCTCAAACCAGAGTAGTCTACCTCACTGCCTGTCCACACCTCCTCTGATACTTTCCCATCTAGTGCTGCCCTCGGTGATCTGTTAATCAAGAAACATGCCATATTCACTGCCTCTGCCCAGAAATTCTTTGCAAGCCCTGCATTCAACCTGAGACACCGAGCTTTCTCGGCTATCGTTCTGTTCATCCTTTCCGCTACACCATTTTGTTGTGGTGTCTTGCGGACTGTGAAGTGTCTCTTGATCCCATGCTGCTCACACAACTCCTGGAACTTTGAATCTGTGTACTCAGTACCATTATCTGACCTGAGACATTTAATCTTCCTCCCTGTCTGGTTTTCTTCTTCAGCTTTCCACAGCTTGAACTTGGCAAACGCTTCTGACTTGTGCCGCATGAAGTACACCCAGACCTTTCGTGAGTAATCATCAATGAAACTCACGAAATACATGTATCCTCCCCGTGATAGTACACTAACTGGTCCCCAAACATCTGTATGGACATAGTCGAGAACCCCCTCTGTCTTGTGTGTGGCTGTCTTGAACTGCACCCTATTCTGTTTTCCAAGAACACAATATTTGAAAAAATTGAGTTTGCATGTCTTGACACCCTTCAATAGGTTTTTCTTATGAAGCTCTATCATCCCACGCTCACTCATATGACCCAGCCGCATATGCCACAAGACTGTATTATCTGATTCAGACTTTACAGCAACAACTCCACCTACAATTGTAGTACCCAACAGTCTGTAAATGTTTCCTACTACTTTCTGTCCCTTCATCACTGTCAGCATACTTTTACTTACTTTCATTACTCTACTTATAGATTTGTAACTA